AACTGTATATACCGTAGTCCATCAGATAGGTAATCATTACTAATACACAAATCAGCAGGGCTAACAACAATATAAAATCCATAATAAATACTCAATCTACCCAATATACGAGTTAAAAATTGTATAAACAAGAGACAGGGCTTGCATAGCAAGGGAAGAAAAATAAGAGGACCAGGTAAAAAGTGTTTATTAGAGTACCCAGTGAAAATTAAACTAAAAAAAAAGAGTATTTACAGTGTATTATACACTCAAATATATTATATGTCTAAGACCATCCTGAGAATCCTGGCTGATCCAAGCAGAGCTGTCTTCTGGAGATTAGAGATGCTCAGATTGCAGTGGACTGCGTCGAGGTGTTTACGAAAGTTTATGGTGATAGTTCCTAATGCGCCTATCACCACAGGGACGATTGTGACCTTTCGTAAATTCCAGTTCTTCTTAATTTCTCTTTTCAGGTCTTGATATTTCAGAATCTTTTCTTGTTCTCTATCCAAGATCCGGGTATCTCCTGGGACTGCAACGTCAATGATGGTTGCTGCGTTGGTTACCTTGTCTACCAGGAGGAGATCCGGTCTACAGTGTTCGATAACGTGGTCCGACTGGACATGGAAGTCCCACAATATCTTGACTTGTCCGTTCTCCAGCACCTTCTCTGCCCGGTGTTCGTACCACCTTTTACTGCGTGGGAAGCCGTATTCCTTGCACAGACTCCAGTGCAATGCGGCAGCTACTTTGTCATGCCGACACTTATATTCTGTCTGTGAAAGTTTTGGGCACCCATTCAGTATGTGGTCTATTGTCTCGTAATGATTTCTGCAGAGTCTGCAGAGGGGAGAAGAGCCAGGTGTTTTGTCAATCCTGTGCTTCACGTAATTAGTCCTAAGTGCTTGGTCTTGGGCTGCTATCAACAATCCTTCTGTCTCCTTCTTCAAATCTTGTTGGGTGAGCCAGTTCCAAGAGGTTAACGGGTCTGCTGTACCCATCATCTGCCTTGGGAACTGTCCGTGCATCACTTTAGCAGTCCATTTCTCCTTGCGGATTTCCTCGCGTTGTGTTCGGTCAATATCTTTCTCTATCTCTTCACCCAAGAGTATCTTGTCTTTGACAAAGTAGTCCTTCAGAGCAATCAGTTCTGGGTCTCTACTTCTCACCACATAAGTGGTGAGTGCATTCTCCTCTCTCTTAACAACTTCCTCTATACTATGTAGCCCACGGCCACCCAGTTGACGGCTGACGTATAACCGATCAACATCTCCTTGGGGGTGGTGAGCTCCATGTATCCTCATCAGTTTCCGGGTCTTGACATCTAAGGCTTTGGTCTCCCCAGCATTCCATGAGAGAATTCCAGCTCCATATCTTATCACAGGTACAGCCCAGGTGTTAATCGCTTGTATACTATTCCTGCCATGAAGCTGGGATTTCAAAACCTTTTTAACTCTTCTGATATACTCTTTTGTAACCAGTGCTTTCATCTCTTTGTGTAGTATATCATTAGCTTCTAGTATTCCGAGATACTTATAGCCGTCGTCCTCCAACTCATGGATCTGTTCACCTGTGGGTAGGGAGATGCCTTCAAAAACGGCTCTTGCTCCCTTCTTCACCTTCACCACGGCACATTTCTCTAGCCCAAATTCCATTTTTATGTCACTGCTGAACTCTGCTGTGGTATTAACCAGTGTCTGCATTTCGTCTTCACTCTCGGCATACAACTTGAGGTCGTCCATATATAGCCTATGCGACACTTTCGGTTGACCTCCTCTCTCCAGAGAGTATCCTATGTCATGCTTATTCAAAAGAATGGACAGGGGTATAAGACTAATGATAAAGTGGATAGGTGAGACTGAGTCTCCTTGGAATAGACCTCTATTAATTTTAATTCTCCCAAGGGAAACTTTACCAAGCATCAGGTTAACATACGATTGTTTGAAGGAGGCTTCAAACAGGTCTATGATGCATGAAGAGATGCCACACATGGTCAAACAAGATAGAATCCAGGAGTGTGGGACGCTATCATACGCCTTCTTGTAGTCTATAAACGTCATGTTCAGGTTCCGCTTCCTTCGTTTACAGTTCTTCAGGATGAGTTTGTCTATCATTAACTGTTCTTTACATCCTCTACTCTTCTTCTTGCACCCTTTCTGCTCAGGGGGGAGGAGCTTTTGCTGGTCTAAATGGTGGTAAATGGAATCTGAGATTAGACCAGTGAACAGTTTCCACATAGCTGATAAGCAAGTAATCGGTCTGAAATTGCCTGGGATGGGTCCTTTCGAGTGGTCCTTGATGAGCAGGTACGTGCGTCCCAATGTCATCCAGTCTGGGATATCAGCGTTGGTTAGGCAATTCATAAGTTGATCTGCAATCCTATTGTGGAGTTCTTTAAAGTGCTTTATCCAATAAGCATGCAGTCCGTCTGTACCAGGAGAGGACCAATTAGTCATTTTCTTCACTCTATCTGCAACCAGGGTGTTAGTTATAACAAACTGTCTCTGTTCATCTGCTGAGGCTAGTGCTGTTCTGACATCCGGTAACCATTCAGCATCACTGTTGTGTTCAACCGGCTGCTCCCATATGCTCTTCCAGAACTTCAGACAAGAATCCTTGTCAGCCTCAGGGTGGGAGATATCCTGTTCTTCAGGGTTTGTTTGAAGGTTTCTGTAGAACTGCCTCTGGTTGTTTCCAAACAACTTGTTCTGGTGGTATCGTTCGCATCTTTTATTAAATCTCTTTATCTTAGCTGCTTTTGCGCGAAGACGTTGCTTGAGCTCCTCAATGATGCATGGTATACCCTTTTTCTTCAACAGAGGGTGACGTCTGTTGAGCCCTTCTAGTATTTTTTGTTTAAGGGTAGTACCTTTCTTCTTCTCCTCAAGGTAGGAGATGTCTTTCCTAACCTGGGTAATCTTATCTTCGATTCTTCTTTTCCATAGTGGAGTATTCCGTTTCCCTGTATTCTTATTTGCAGGTTTTTCACCAAGTCTTTCGCTGACTAAATGTGCCCCTGCAAGCAATAGGGTGTTGATTTCAGTGATTGAAGAAGTTGGAATCTCTGCTATACATGAGTTGATGAGAGATGTTTCCTCCATAAGCTTCTTTCTGTTCACATGTCTCAGGGGCTTGGTTTCTATCACTGAAGGGTCTTCTAGGAGCCTTTTTAGCCGTTCAATGATTGCCTCCTTGTCAAAATCAGGTACCGTTGTGGTGGGGGTGAGTTCTTCGGCGGCGACAGTTGGGATAGTTGCATCCCTCAACGTCCTGATTGCTTGGGAGACTGTGGGTAAAGCTTGAGTTGTCGTTGTTGGAGCCTCTTCCACTACGCTAGGTGGAAGAGTACCTCGAATCTCCAGTAGTTCTATGTCTGAAAGGAGATTATTATTTCTGATTGACCTTGCTTGGTCTGCCAATCTTTGTTCCGTACAAGTGAAGAGTCCGGCATCATCCCACAGTGATCGGAGTCTTCTCCTGTAACCAGAGCGGGATGGTTGGCTCTGGTAATACAGCGTCATGAGCTGTATGTTGTCCTCCTTGCTCCACGTGTGCCGAGTGGAAGTCTCCGTGCGAGCCTTCCTCTCACGTCGAGCTGGAGGGATGATGTTAGGTTGTTGATCCTGCTCTGACCCATTAGTAGGGAGAGTAGGAGAGTTTGAAAAATTTGAGAGAGAATTCATATCATAACTGGGGGACTTAGTATACCCCCTAGAGAGTTGGCAGGGAAAACAGAGCACTGAGCGTTGCCCCGCGTCGCCCAGCTCCCCAGGTAGCTACCTCCTGGGTAGTAGACCCGTTAGTAACCATTTAACCCATGGCCACGCATCCTTTTGTCACGAGTCCACAACTTAAGATTGGGGGACTTCTGCGGGTCAGTCCATGCCCGATAAGAAAACCACTAGGTGTCAATTGCACCTAGTCAACAAACCAAGAGCTAGAGCAGAAGGATACAAGAATTTAACCAACGAGAGGCAAGAAAGGGAATTAACCGGGGGACAATTAACAAACAATACAATGAAATATAAAATGATTACAATGTTATAATTACTCGAGTATAGTAACATTATAGATAGTAATATTTCCAAAGGAATGATATTCTTTCAGTACCAGCAGTCTGTGCTGCTATGATATGGAATAAAAATCAGGGGATATATTATCTTAAAATACTGCTTTCTCAGTTACAGATATTTTTCTTGGTTTTTCCATTTTGTGCTTTTTTTTTTCTTTTTTTTTTCTTTTTAACTTTTTTTGTAATTTTCTTTTCTTTTTTCCCTCCTAAACATGAATATTAAGCAAGTACAAAATCTCATGAAAACATTAAGTGATGTTGAGAAGGGACATAAGAGCCTGAGGTTCTGGTGGTCTACAGGTGTTTCACCAGCTGTTTGATCAAGTTCTAGCCCGTTACTTGGACTAGTAACGGGGGAACTAACAGTGTTAATAGTTTAAACTTTGTGCTATAACTGAACCTCAGGAAGAAGACATCTGGCAATGCCAGGGAGTGAGTAGCTCTAGCCGGCAGCCATCCAATGGACTGCTGCCGTTACCGACCCCGGGGGTGCTGACCACGAGTATCAGCCTCGGACCCACTACTCACTAGCTCTGGTGTTCTGAGCGGGGGCCTTATTATTATTATTATTAAGATGTAAAAGTTGCAAATGAGGCAATTATAATTGAACAATCTACATGGTACAGCATGCACAAAGCAGTTAGCACTTCAGTTGTAAATAGTATGGCTCGGAGAGAGACGCGAGCTCCAGTTCTCTGGTCATTGGCTACGTTACTTTGTGATGAGGACCAATGACCTATTATCATGTATAATATATACATCATGTGGTTGTATTCAGAGACCGTCTCTTCGCTCGAGCTGCCCCAACATGATATGAAAATGTGAAATATTTGTTCAGAGAACAGCTTTAAATAGTTCATTATTCCGATCCGAGTCCAGGCGTGTTTCACATGGATCACATACTGTAGTGGCCGCTTTTGCCGCTTGTTAATGGTGACTGTTTCAGGAAGCAGGTTAGCAGTGGTAGATACAGATAACAGACTAGTTGTTGACGGAGACTACCAAGAGCACGGCACATCCCCCACCAAGACCCCCACTATCACAGAGAACGTGTTTACCAAACCTGGCCGGGTCTGGATTACTGGGGTCCAAGGTTTGTTTAGTACGTGTCTTATACTATTTCTGGAATGTTTACTAAATTTATAGAATATAGAATACCGAAGTTAAGTTATAGTGCTCATTAAAATGTAGGCTATTTGCTAGCCAACTGCAGCGCTGTGTTATTATATTACTATCGTACTGCTATTATATTTTACTATTATTATAGTTGATATACCGATTATACGGTACCTTGGTAATTTAGTATCGTCTTCTAACGTACCGTTAGATATAGACTCCGCTGATACTATCCTATACGACAAGAGTGTATACCTGGACAATCGCCTTTGGAGAAGCAGATAATCTAACTAGTCGGAAATCAACTGAAATTTTTAAGAAACAATTACTAAAATATCAAACATTTTACCAAACTGTAGACTCAGCATTTTACAGGTGTTTACTGTTTTCTAAGGAATTTTTCGCATTTGTAAGTCGTTTTGAGCGTAATTATTCCTGACAAAGTTTGCCAACGAGAAACTTTAAACTTTAGAAATAGAAATTTGTTTTCCCAAATCATCAAATCCTTTATAGCGTTTGTAGAATAAAAGTAAAATTATGTGTATGGTATACACATACACTGTATAATGTATATGTTTATTGAAACAGTTTTCATCAGACTCTGTATTCTTGTTTAAAGTACATACTCCATCTAAAAGAACCTCTAGCATACGTTGAAACAAAACAAAATTTACGAAAATTCCACTTTGAAATATATCATGAGAAATGGATGAAATCGTGTGGCATCCCATGAAAGAGTGTACGCTGAGCCATAGCTAGTAGCTACCCTTATGTCATAAAATGGTACATAAGACTGTAAGTTATCCAGCACAAATCCCGCCGGTGGACAACATGTGAAGCCTTGACGAGACAAAAAGAGATAAACTAAACTGATTTTAAAAGTCCAGCCTTATTTCATAACTTGTGATTGTATGCGGAGGAGTTTTGTAACCTTGACTTGTGGAGTGCTAATACAGTAGTTTTAGCGACATCGTCAAATGCAGCCCCCTGTAAGCATTTCATTTATCATTGCACACTAGTTCGTGATTATTGACGCGGACGAGGTTGAGAATAACACTAATCAAGCACTTTTTAAATAGTTGATGATTTAGGGTCAACATCTTACCATTCTGTCCCTTGAATTCTACATACGCTATAAATTGTATCGCTATCGCATCCAAAAGCACAGTTAACGGTAACAATTTACCTGGATTTTACACTTTTTTCATTCAGGCGCTGGGCTAAGGAAGAGCTCGAACGTAAGATGATGCGTGAGAAGCAGCACGTGGAGCACCACGTGATTCACTTTTCTCAACACCTGCCTATCAGATCATCAGATTTCAAGCGCAGCAACCCTTAGGATTACATTTGTACAACCCCTACCCTATCAGATATCAGGCGCAACGACCTCTAGGATGAAATTGATATGTTGAAACCAGATGTTGGTAATATGCTGCCGTCTTCAAAGTTTGGTGTCCAAATTGAGAGTTGAAGAGAAGGACTTACCGGAGATAACAAGCCTTCCCGGTATGCAGGTCCCAGCTTGTAAGAGGCGCGTATGGTACGTGGTTAATCCCAGGTGACCTATTGATCACTACACCATCGGATATCACTGCAGTGCAAGTGGAAACACGGCTTTCCATTTCGTCCGCAGTTCGTAATATTATGTTTAAAAGCCCAGGACATAAATCAGTCATGAACATCTCCTGAAATGTAATGGACTAAACAAGATTGATAGGAATATTCTAGCTTCATCCGAACCAAACTTGGACGATACTAATATTGCGTAGAATTTGACGCATGGTATTTGAAGTTGATAATCTTTAATAAGCTCAAGAAAGCTGTTTTTGTTTATTTTGATTTGACCCACTGACTATTGAAGTGTTATGGAGCTTTTGTTCCGACTTTTTGTCGGGTTTAACGAGCATAATGACCTAGTTGTTCATGATTTGTAAATCATGTACCACCATCCTGATGTGAAATGTCTGAGCTTACCACATTATGACATGACCTATGAATCTAATTCAATCTCTCACAATACTCTCCTCTTTCACGATTACCCGTCTTCCTAAGTCCTGACCTTAAAAGTTTTTCAGTAACCTTCGAAAAGTTAATCATTGAAAATGACCCAAAACCGTTTATTTCAAATTCTTTAAACAGTCTAATGTTGAACTCAAATCTAAATAAGAAAGTAGAGTATTACAGACACAGTCATGACAATCATCAGACATTGGAAATGGAATAAGTTGTTTATTTGGCGTTTAGGAGGACACCTTACTATTGCTACTTCATATTGGTATTTCGTTCCATTTAAGGATTTTCATTTTAATTGTTTAACTTCAAATTAGAATATTACATCAACATTGCTGTTTTACTAGTTTTTTTTCTTCACATTGAATAGTCAACTATAGATAAGTTAGATACAATGTATTAGTGAAAAGAGAAAAGGTTGACATCATTTTTATTGTTTGATAGTATCAAAATATATAAATCGCAGTACGGCCAATGTCTTTCTCAATAAGCTTGTCTTCTCTCCTATCTGTGTGTCATGTTCTCTGCTTCCTCGCTCTGTTTCTACCTAAATTTGTAAAACAGCTAGAAAAGAGCGCCGCGCACAGTACAGGCAACATGTATTGGCAAGCTAGGTAACTTCTTACTTCAGCTTCAATTTGCATAATTATGAGCTGGACTCGTTTGACTTGACGAATGATACTTCTTGTCACAAGTTGTAGACCTGCCGCGCAAGAGTGCGCGGCTAGGCTGTATCGTGGCTTTCGCCACGATCATACTACTAGTACTAACTAGTGAAACTTAGTGAAACGACAATGGGGGTCACGACGTGATTTACTGAGTGGCACTCGCCGCTCAGCCTGTCATTCCACATTCCGCCGAATCTCTATTTATGAACATTATAGCCTGGGGTCCTCAGGTAAGTCATGATCATGATATTGGTCCTCGCCTTGACCATTGCTAATGGTCTGGCCCGGCGCGCGCTACTTCGTAGCACTTGCCATCTTAACGGGTGATACTCGTAAAATATCTGTTCCATACTCGGCGCGCGTCCTGGTAGGTTGTAAACCTACAATTGCCATCGGGCCATAACATTTCGAAAAGTAAGCGGCGCGCGCTACTTCGAAGAAATTTAGACGAGTAACATCCGTCAATCCTCGCCTCATCGTCATTTTAGTACCGTGACGAAAGCCACGATATGACCCTGCACTCGTGCGCGGCGGGTCCACAACATGAGGCATGAAATACTCCATTACTCTATACTCTTTATTAAATTAGTGTAATATAATAGGGCGCCATTTGATTGACGATGTCAATCCGTCGAGATCGTTGCTCTGCGAAGCAGAGCAACGATCGTCGACCGATGCGAAGCAAGAATGCTAGTTCGCGCGGCGCGTCGAAGCGGCGAAGTCCTCCAAGGCGCCATTAGTGATTAGCTAGCGAGCCCATACATCAAATTCAATCTATCCCACTTCAAATAAGACCCGTTACTTTGATTTCCTAAACCTGATTTTGACGCGGACGGATGTTACATTGTCAATTGTTACTCGTCTAAATTTCACCGAAGTGGCGCGCGCCGCTCGCACTTTCTTCTCGAAATATTAGCCCGAGGCATGGCGAATGCTACGGAGTAGCGGCTACAGGCTAGGAGACCATCTACTTAGCACTTAGGACGTCCGGCAAATAAGGAGGGGGTGGTTTTGGAATTTCGGACATATCCGGACATGACATAAACAGTTGATACATGTTTCGTATCCCAATATCAGAGAAAATTGGCATGCAACGTATGCAGTATGTCAACATAACAGGGGGCCGGGAGTGGGGTGGTTTTTGAAAATCTGGACGTCCGGAAATTTTGGCAGAAGTAACGAAAAACCATTATGCATTAATTTCAACTTTTTGACACTAATTACTTAATGAATTTGAATTGGTTTTACTTGTATTCTTGTAGCGCGATGCACTACTGCGTCGCGCCGCGCATTTTAACTCGCAACAACGTATGTGGTATGCAGATCGGCGAGATGCGAAGGATTGACATCGTGAATCAACATTCAACTTGTACTTTTGAAAGTACGAGCGTGTTAAATGACTTTGACACTCTACAGTCGATCTTCGAGATTGTTCTAAAAGGGCCCCCGACAGCTGAAACCAACTTCAATCGATGTATTTTCGGACGCTGATTCCGAATCACCCCCCATGACATAGGGTTAAAATGCTCCCCCCGACGAGATATTGGTGAAAAACTGTCTCGATCACGTGATATGACCGTATAAGGAAGTTAGTCTAACTCTCGTTAGGGTTAGGGTTTCAGCATATTCTTTTGTTAAGGATTGGGTTAGGGTTAGGGTTGGTATCAGACTAGAGGGTTAGGGTTTCGAATAGTCGTTCAGGGCCAGCTAGAGAACGGGTTGAAAAACAAAAAAGTCACGTGACAGTCGAGTGTAGAGTTGAAAGTGATTAATCATCATCCTTGAAAGTAGCTGGAAATCCGGGGGAGGTTTTGAAAATTCGGACACACCCGGACACGCTGTAACCCCTTTTGAGCGCGCCGGCCGGCGTGCACGCTTCGCGTGCACGAGAGGTATACATCGTGTAGCGTAAGCAACCGGACAACTGTTAGGTACGTGTGTATTACCTCAGAACTAGAAGTTAAGTTGAACCCCAGTATGCTGCGTTTAATTCCAGTTTAATTCCTTGGCATAAGGTTTCATAAAGATGAATCAAGTGATAACTTATATGATTAAGATCCGATTGGATAGGTTTGCAGAGCAATGCAGCCATTGGTCAGAAAGGACATTTAGTGTTATTAGAATTATTTACAAAGAAATTATTGGATTAATAGTGTTATTGAATTCATCAATTAGTGGAACAATATTTTAACCAGTTTTAAAAAACCTGTATTTGTATTATTAAACCTGTTTGTTTGCAATAACCTGTTTGCAATAACCTGTTTGTTTGCAACTCTCCTGGATAACGCGTGGACTGCCTCTTCCACTGGAGCTCCTCTTCCACAGAACACCTAGACTACAAAAGATGAACACACAAGATTCTCACTGCCGTTAGCCTTTAGCCTTTTCCCGAACGCCTCTCCTATGATTGGTTTTCTCTACACGGCCCGGGATGTTAGTATGCTGCGCTCTCTCCCACGTCACCAGTTTCATAAATAGGTTTGTAGTCCTTTATTTTAAATCATTGACCTTAGTATTTTGTTCCTAAGACTGTATCAATATCATGCATAATTAGGTTAAGATTAAATCCGTGAGTTCAAGTTCTGTGCAAGTATCATAATATGCTGGTAAAATACTTATCCGTTATTTTCACCAGATTTTCCTAACGTCATGCCAGATCATTGTAATTGGTTCCCGTCGCTTCTGTTGAATTCCTGATAGGCTAGGAAGTTTGTTCCTCGAGGTATAGCTTTCATAATTATTAAACCATTAATTAGATGTTGTTCATTGCAATGTTATTTCCCATTTATTGATTCACATTGTTCGTAATACTAGAGTCATTCCCGATAGGTTAGTAATTAAATTCTAATAGGTTTATACATTTCCTAGGTAATATTGTGGTGACCCTATCCTACCTGTTTGCTTGTCCTAACCTTAGCAGCACCTACATTATTACCTCGTAAGTCATTTGAGCATTTATTGATAAGTTCTTACATATTTCGTATTCTACAGTTCACTCTAATTTAACTTTATCATGTTTAATTTTATCCTAGTTAGTATATTATTGTCTTTAATTAATCCGTCATTTGCTAATAATTTGTCCCTTTCTAGGACATTCCCCTCCCACGGATTCTGCCCTCGTTGGCAGCATTGAAGGAACGTAGCCATGATATAGCAGCTACCTGTCCATCGTCCAGAGAGAGAGTCAGCCAGCCCGTTATAATACACACCAGTTCCCATTGATCACCCAGCTACCCAACTGATTTAGGGTAACGGACTTTACCATGAGATTGAACACTTATTTTATGTACGATTGGATTGGTCTTGCATTATTTTACAATCCTTTACTTATTCACTTGTTTTAATTGGTTATCTTCCAGATATAAATCCATCTAAAAGTTCGAAGTTAAAACTCTAGATATAAATTAACCTAAAGGTTCGAAGTCCATAATTATAACATAAATTCCTGTCATAAATCTACCATCGTACACTGAGAGTTTGGGTTTGAACTATGCCCTGAGTGAGTCTCAAACCGGGAGGTATTCCATAATATCGGAACCTGAATATCCATACTCTAGTTAAAAGGAGCCCATTATACGTAGTTAAATTAATACCATCACAATTTAATGAAATATAATAAATAAATAATCTCTAGAAGTCATGGAAAATTGGAGCAGCAAATAGGCCGTTAAGTAAGTTGTCGTGCTGAAATCCGAGTACGCCACTTAACAACAACTACAAGGGTTGTATCACGCCGTGACCCCCACGGTCGTGACCCCCACGGTCGTTTCGCTAGTATCGTTCCACTGTATCGTTCTTAGTCTTACGATACAGGGCCGGGGAGCCGCACACCCGTGCGCGGCGGGTCATACAACGTATGACAAGACAGGGGGAGGTCTGGAAATCTGCGATTTTGGCGGAAGTCCTAACCGAACCTAAGTAGATGGCCCCTTGCGCGCCCCGGGCTAGTACATTAACATCGGACAACCCTAACTTAACCCTAACCAATAACTTGATTGTTCATACATGTTGCGTAATGTGTATCCCAAACATCAATTAAGATATTATTTGTTTATATTTATTTTTCCGCCTTCGGTGACTCGCGCTTAATAGCTTGACCATTGTTAATGATCTGGCCCGGCGCGCGCTACTTCGTAGCACTTGCTTTCGAGAAGAAAGCGGCGCGCGCTACTTCGAAGAAATTTAGACGAGTAACATCCGTCAATTAATAGCGCGCAAAAAGTGGCATGCAACGTATGTCAACCAATAACTAGACTCAAAATTACTGGGCGGCACTCAGCCTGTCATTCCACCAAATCTCCATTCTGATTATATAAATAATATATAAATAGCCTGGGGTCCCATAACGGGTGATACTCGTAAAATATCTGTTCCGTCGACGAGTCCAACTCGGCGCGCGTCCTGGTAGGTTGTAAACCTACAAGGGGTCCCCAGGTAAGGGTTTATCAGGTGGCTATTTATACATATTATTTCGCTCCCACTCAATCGCATGCCCAAATTTTAGGAAAATTCTTGTGAAAAGGCCCTGAGGGTATGCTCAAAGTAATCTCAAATCGGTGTATTTTTGGACGCTGATTCCGAATCACTTCCCATGACGTAGGGTAAAAATGCTTCCCTGGAGAGTTATGGGCAAAAAACTGTTTTGGTCACGTGACAGGCTAGTTAAACACGAATTCGATTGTTTAGGGCTCGGGTTAGGTTCAGGCAGGGTTGTAGTTAAGGCTAATGGATAGATAGCTTCGGGGTTACGGTGTATGGTTAGGGTTGGGATTATGTGAAACCGTTTTGTTCGGCTGCAAAACCATAAAAACCAAAGTCACGTGATAATTTTTGGCGAGCGAATTAATAAGAGCCCTATTATTTAGTATTCATAAATTTGTATGATAATCAATGTGAGTGTGCTGTGTGACTGTTGTGTATATTATCAATATTATCAGTTTGGAGAACAGCGCGTTGGTAAAATCAAAGCACCGTATGTTGGTATGCAAATAAAATACATAAAACAGAAATGTAAAAACAGTTTTCAAAATCTAAACACAGCGTGTCTTGGGTTTTACTAGATTGATTGTATAATACAGCCCTCTACTCAAATATATATCGGTATTGCTACACACTCACATATATCTTATATTATTCTTACAGTCAACAATCATCGGTATAACTAGAAGATATGAGATAGACGACATAATTTCATTTTCGAGTACAAAATAATTAAATTTCAACCTTTTATTTCATCTTACATCTTAACGAGAAAAATTCTTTATTGATTAATCTTAAAATGCAAGTCAAACTTCAGCAAAAAACATAAATACGATACAAAGCAATAAAGATTAACCTAAAATAAAAACCATTTCATCAAGTCGAAACTCAATCAAATACAGAACAGATAAAAAGCAGAATCTTTGAGAAAGATTTAGTTTAAAACGAATTCTTGCCAAGAAATGATGTAAAGGAGCAAAATAAAACTTTCGGATAACGGATAGAGGCCTATTTCTCACCCCCACCAAAACTTGGTTTGTTCACATTTATTCAGCGTGGATATGGAATAGTGGTTTTAACTTTCAACCACCACATATAACCATTTATCTATCATCCCTTAATATCACGTAACAAAACAGCTTTCACCAAACCATCTCATTAATGTACAAACAATTGTTTAGCTCTGACGGAATAAAAATCTTTTTTATCTAGGTCATCTGTTGCCATGGTAACGCAACATAATACACACGTTTACCATGCCGCTATTAGTGTCCGTAAGAATGAGTCGCTTGTTCCATGGGCCCGGACCGCCAGTTTTCAGCAGCTTCTGGATACTGAGATCGAACTTCCCTAACGACACTGAAAATATTGGTTATTATTAATTATTACTGGGCGGCGCTCAGCCTGTCATTCCGCCTAATCTCTATTCGGCCTAATCTCTATGATTATGAACATAAATATAATAGCCTGAGGTCCCCAGGTAACATTAACTACTATTACCTTGACACATTCTTCGGAAAATATACATTTTGGTGCCGTTTATATAACTTTTTAACGGATTAAAACATACCGTTGGGCGAAAATGAGTTCTCCTTGAAGACTGTAATGTTGATCTTGTCCGTTGAGACATCTCCAACAACGAAGTGAATGGTGTGGTCCCATTTAGGAGCCCCAGTAGGTGTTTTCTGAACATGGCTGAGCAGGGAAGCTTGGACGAACAGGGAGTTGGGCTTCTCGTCAGGAGGCAGTGCTAGTTCCAACCCTTCCACCTGCAATTGGGCGTCATGTTAGGTGGTTATAAAATGAGGAGGACCGGGGAAATTGATATGGGTTCTGTTAAAAGATGTTCAAATTTTATTGCTAGCTCGCTCGAGAATATCAACAAATCAAGTTTGATTAATTTTCATAACAAAAATCAATCTTATATTTATAAAATACCCCAAACGGTTGAAAGTTGATAAAAACTTACGATTCTGAGAGTGATAGTAGCTTGGCCAGCAATGGTTGGGTCAGGTAAACTAGTTTTATAATGTGAGTGGTACAGCAAGGTGGCATTTCTGATCCCATCGTTCAAATGGTCGACCCAATCTGAAGCTTCCTTCGCAGTTTGACAAGTAAATGAATAGTTTCTGTCGTTGTACGAAAATGAAAATGCTAAGTCAGCTGAGTTTTTGTTGCTTTCCGTTGGAAACACGTTGTTCAGTAAAAATGGGTCTCTATAAGTTTCAAATTTGATTGAATCGAAATCGCGAGCGTCAATATCGATGGGTTTGTTACCATAGCGACCCTTATCGACTCTCGTTATCCATAACGTGTCCGTGAACAAAATAGCAAAAAGTTCCTTGCTTCCCTTATTCTTGAAAACCGAACCGAAATGAATGAGTTTCCTGGCTCCCAAACAGTTGGTGTTAGAGTTTAATCGGACCTTCTCTCCCAAATCATCGCAACACTTATCAAAGACTCTTTGAAGAGACTCGAGCCGGGTTGTGGCCCTCACGGCCTCATTGACACTTGTTAACAGGTGCTCCGTCCGAGTCAGCGAGTCTTTGAGGCTCTGATAGTCAGGATGAGTATCCCTGGTATGTTGCAAGATCTTCTTGATAAGGAGAGGGTATTTGGTGATCCGCTGCATTGGCTTCAACAGGAAGGTGGAGAGAGGCAGTTTCCCGACTTTGGGAGAGCCAGCACATTCCTTTTCCTTGACTTTGAAGTCGTGAGACACACCCTCTTGTAACGTTATCATAGCTTGTCTCTGGGCCGAACAGAACTTCGTGTACGGCCCTATCAGACTATCGATCTGTGAGGGAGCACAATTAAGAAAATGTAACCTAAATATGTAATCAAATCAAATAAATTAGGTTTAGATTACATAACGTCTGATATCAGACGTCAGTTTAGTTCGATAACTTTAACTTAGAAACACTGAATTTATACGCTCTGATTCCGCCTTACCTCTTCCAGAAATACAGATCCAACACTCTCAAAGCTGTTAATATCACTGTTATTGTATAGAGCCCTAAAGAGACGGGCATTACAGAGGATTAGTTGTTGCCAGTTCACAAAGACGCTGGTTAGTTCGTCGTCAGTAGCAACCGAGCAGAGGGGGTTGTAGAACACCTGAGAGAACACGTGTTATATTAATTGTGTCACGTGTTGTATTCTTGAGACCACGTGATCATATTCCCACTAACACGTGACTATGTGTCACACACCTCTGCAACTAACACCACCAACGTGTAATTAACGCTTGCAGCAGCAGAGAGAGAACAGTTTTAACACATTTACAGCTCAATGTTTGAAACCAATAATGAGTAACAAGTGGAGTGTCAATGGTAGGATAGAGTGCTGAAGGTTGAAAGAGGGGAACATACCTCTACAACTAAGAGCAGGTCATCAATGTAGGTCTTCTCCGTGGATATGAGCTCATGTATAGCCTCCTGAGAGAGAGAGGGGGAGAGTTAGAGGGAGAGTTAGAGGGAGAGTTAGAGGGTGTTAGAGGGTGTTAGAGGGTGTTAGAGGGAGTCAGAGGTGAGGGAGGAGTAGCAGCTGACAGTTGGGAATACAACAAGTGATACAGTCACATACACGTTAACATGAGTTACAGTGATAACTGACAAGTTACAACATGTTACACTAGTTTCTGACACTGGCTGGTGGTTTAAATGTTGGGGTGTTAGCCGGAGTGTTGCAATGGCAGGAGCTCGGTGTTAACCGTTAACATTTAACGGAGGCCGGAGGTACGTCTATCTGGTGTCACCAGGTTGAACCTTGTTTTGTCTTCAAGACAAGCCCAGACAAGTCAGGATATTGTAGAGTAAGGTATGATCACGTGATAAAGACGGTATGTTGTATCAGGCCAGCACGTTATAAAAATACAGAGCGTTTACAGCAATACCGCCCAAAGGCTACTAAATCAACATGTTAATACTGTCATATCAAACAAAAAGTTTTAAAGTTAAAACCGGGCAAAACTGCAGACAAACTATCCTACGAGTTTACTTTACATTATACAAAATATGACATGTAAAATTAGGATTTCAGAAAACAAACAAACAAACAAACAAACAAACAAACAAACAAACAAACAAACAAACAAACAAACAAACAAACAAACAAACAAACAAACAAACAAACAAACAAACAAACAAACAAACAAACAAACAAACAAACAAACAAACAAACAATTACTCACTTGTCGGGTTCTCTCATCTTCAGCAGCTGACAGATTGGCGTTCCAGGCTGAGAGGAATCTATTAGCATTTGCTAAGTCGGTTCTAACGTGAATTAAATCTACCGTGTTTATGCGTTTATCAGCTATGGGACTAAACGGCACATTCCTAAGTATAACACTCTTCTTTCTCTCATCCCTCTTGGCTCTCCAACTTGTAGTTTTAGGTGACTTGGGAATGTGAGCCAGCTGAGACAGATACTCTTCGTTATAAATCATATTCAGATCATCAGAACACGAGACTAGCGGCTCAAACACGATCTGTTTGACTTTATTTTTAGGAGGGAGATCAGCGGGAACGAGGTCCTGAGACCGGGCAGGTATTGTGTGCCTCAAGGCGGGCCACCTCTTCTCGTGCTCTCCAATAGTACTGAAGTAGCCTGGTAACCGTCTCCTCTCCTCCTGCAGAGTCAGGTACGTCTCCAGGACACTCACTATCGTCTCCGGCGGTATTGGTGGTGGTGCCGCCGGGTCGGAGGGTCCCCGGCTGATGCCGCGTTTCCGAGGAAAGAGAGCGGAGATTGGCCGATCACTGGCTGTTGACATGGTTACGCGCGGTTTCGTTACTTCCTAAGTTGTTGTGTCATAATTTCTATTATCATAAGCAAATTTCTTGAGTTTCCATAAGAAAGATCACACTCTACAGCTGTTAAGTACGGAAAGGTGACAAAAACAGTAGCCAGAAATAAACTTGTACAATAAGCGGGAAAGAGAGGTGGCAGGAAAATAACGCAGGTAACTGAAACGCCCCGTATAAAACAGTTGACACGGCTCACCGGATGCGAACAGGCATTTGAATTACAAAAGGTCAAAACCTCCCTTTCAACGGAGAATATAAGAAGATTGCAAGCTTCCTTATTGCCACCCAGCAACTACAACTGAATGAAATATTTCAGATTGGACAGTGTCCACGCCCAGTATCAGTATTGATGTATATTCTGACACTGTATGCTATAAGCTGTTGTCACCTCTCTGGCGATGGTGAAGCCACCGTGGCTGAGGTCAGGTGGTATCTGTAACGACCACTTTACAACAAATCACATTCCAGTTCTACATATCTTCACCTTGTCTAATTTCTGACAGAAAGCTGTGAATCTAGTCTACTACGTGAGGCTTTATCGGGACTCTGTACTGCTATTGCCCGGCTTTATTGGAAATACTTGAATTAATTACCAGTAATAGACTGTTTAGTGTTTAGGTGGAAGTCGGATTTTAATGAACGTGAGTGATATTTTAATGAACGTGAGTGACGGTGTCCTCGGTGTCAGGTGAAAGACGTTCGAGACTCCTTGGAGACTTAGCTTTACGTGAAAACTGGCTGTCACATAAACAAGCGAGGGTAGGATGTAGTGGAAAGCTTTGGCGGCTTGTGGAGGTTTCAGCAAGGCACGAGTGTTCCATAAGGTGAGCTAACTTTTAACGGCATATCAAACATATTTGCGAAGCCACACTGATAATTAATATTCTGTATTTAATTAACAATTGTCAGAACAACAAACATACAAAAGCGTGTTCCTGAGTACTAATAATAATTGTTGAGCTAAAATAGAAAGTTATGAATCGAGGTCCACTATAGGACAGGTTATGAATATAATACATTCCACTGTTCCACAGAATACTTAAATAATAAATAAATTATTTCGAGTTTGTAATAGCAGAAAAAGTAACATGAAAGCGCAACGTAGGTTAAAGTATTGAAAATAAACAGGAAATAAGAACAGGAAAGGAATGGAACGAACTCTGCTAATTGACAATCAATGATGTAGGATGAACTCACGGTAGGGGATGAAGTCAATGTAGTGGTACCCAGCCTGCATCAGCTCATCTTTAGCAGCCCACAACAGAAGGCTCTGCCTACTCCTATTGTTCCCCTTCTTGACGGAGGCCTGCCGTCTGTACGCCAGCTTTTCTTCTTCTCCTTCTTCTCCTCTTTAAACTACCGGACAAACTCACAAACGAAAAAGTAAACCGTCAGAACTGGTGAAAATGTTTCATGGTACACATAGGGTAAATATCTTAGAAATGACAATCAGTAGAATGTCACGTTGACACAGCAAAAACTATTTCCAGATAAGACACAACGTGGTCTTCGTCTCCAAATATCACGTGACTTGATAGTCCCTTTTTGTTGGACAACACCACAGATGGAGGGCTGTGATTGGACAATACCGCACTTGTACGAGTGTCTGACAATCCTGGGAGTGAGTAGTAGGACATCTCCGGTGATCTGATTGGCTGCTCACTTCCATACTGCACTGTGATTGGTGGAGGGGGAAGTTGGCGGTATAGGGCGGAGAGGAGATGGGGGAGTATTGAAGTGTCGCTACTAAAGTAGCTGTTCCAGTGTAAATGTACACTGTTACGTGCTAGTTAGTGCGTGTCACTAGACAGTTCCGATATGGTTTATAGATTAATGACATGGTCTGTGTTATATACACAGTACTGACTACAGTGTGGTTGTTTACAGTTATTGGAAAATATTACCTTACTGGAGTTACGGGACGATGGAAATAACTTAGACCGAGAATATTGAAATAAATAACTTTGACAGGGGATATCCACATATCTTTAAAAAGATTATGAGAATATATATTATATATTATTATATATATTATATATATGAGAATCACGGGAAAGAATCACTAAAATTGTGACCAGATAACATCTTCAAAGACTTATATATTTGTTTGATGGCGGTTATATTAACCTCGTGACAGAGAATAAAAACACGGAAAATAATCGTCAAAATTAGGTTAGGGATTTAAAAGGTTATTGGTATTAAAAGATATAAAAATGGAGAATATTTGCAGAGACAGAAATATCACAAAAGTTCCCATGGAAATTTCGTTGTGACTGTGTAGTGAGTACAATATATCAATTGAATCTCAAAGTTGAAATTCAAATGAAATGACATTAGGGAACAATAAATAAACCGACAAAAAAGTTCCAGAAGTTGTTCTGATCGTGGCAGAATGAGTAATGACATGGAAAATAGGACAGCAAAAAAGGATGGTTAACAGACAAAACTCGATTAAGCTGTCAGGTTCCGAGAAGGATCACCAAGGGGAACGAGCCTGAACAGAACTGATCTAGTTTTCAGAGACCGAATACAAGACAAATGCGGCTCAAGACCGAATCCTTACACGACAACTTCTATAAGTCCGCGTACTTCTGTCCGGCCGCGTTCATAATGAAGGAATCTTTAGTAGTAGATCCTAACCAGACTTAAGTATCGGGCTTGTTTTATAAAATCGTTTATTTCTCTAAAACTACAGTTGGATAAGTAACAAATGAGAAAGTGTTGTGACCAGTAAGAATAGGACAGACTGTCTCCTGAGCTTGTACTCCCGACAACACATGCCACTAGACCAGCTGCTCTCGGAGACCAGCAAGCCTCACACCTCCCCAGCTGCTCTCTCTATCTCTTGGTCATGTTATATAGTATTTGACACTACTAACAGAATATGTCAACACTACGGACCGGCACTCATATATTAACATTCCTTACTTCCATACTTTGTTTTAAAATAAATACAACAAGGGAGGGAGAGAGAGAGAGCTTTCTGCAGAATATCACGTGATGTGTTGGAAACATCGGGTGAAAGTGTTGTGATGTGATAAAACACCACGCGCGCAACACGCACGTGGATTTGAACGTGTTATAAAACCTACCAGTTTCCAGTTGCTGTTGTAGGGAATTACCTGCTCCCATTAAGCTCTGATCTTACAGATGGAGATATGTCTGCCATACAATGGAAAGAGAAACAAGCTCACAAAAATAGAAAGGTACTGTAAAGGCTGCAAGTCATCATAACTAAGATACTAATACTAATGTATAATATTTTGCTGAATAGTGTGTGATGCAGACAGGTATGGTATCTTACGTAGCAGTAAGCTAAGCACGGGGCAGGGTAATAGCAAGCAAACTATCGGGTCATTACTTCATTAAACTTATTAAAGCAATTAAAATATTTAATTAAACAGAATGTTATCAATATAATTATGTGAAGGGACGGAGTAAGAGACTTGAACAACGAACAAAACAAAAAGGTATTGTGTAAAGTAAAATTTAATGTTGATAAATATGTTTAGAAGATGGGTCTTCGTAAAATTAGCACGACTAATTAAGGAGTTTAGACACAATCAACATAAAACAAAGCGGTCAAACATAGTAATGAACAGATATAGAGTACATGTGGTAAAAGAATAATATGCAGCTAAATATATATATACTAAATATCACTGTGCAATGTTAGCCAGTCCGGTCTTGATGAACTCTCTCATTGTACTGGCTTCATATTTAGAACCGACCTTACGACTATTGTTATTGTGATACATTATGAGATGGACAACGAGAAAAAGAAGAGGAAAGGGAAAAAAGAAAAGAAATTGGGGGAAGAAGGAAGAGTAACAGAATTGCCAAGCCTTGATAGAGAAGCCATTACAATAATAAAATGACGAAAAATCGTTATTTATAAAAGACAGAAAGTGACAGAGTAATTCCTCCTGCTAAAATAAGGCGGATACGGTACCATGACAACATGGGAATACATATAGGAGCCGGAAAATGGTAATTAAATAATTAGTAATCAATAATGTCCCGTACGAAACTTAACTAAGATAGAGCGAGTTTGGTCGTCTGACGCGTGTCGCAAGTTACCAAAACTAGGAAACTTCTAGCAACTCGCATGGCCCCACAAGCCGTTTTTCAAGACGTCCACGATATAGCATAAGCTGACCAATTGTATCCAATTTACAAACTTTAGTAAAACAGAACCCAATAAAAGACGTAATTTAACAGCAATTACACCGTCAAGTCACACAATTATGAAGCTAAATGTTTTGCATAATACATGTACTATACATGTATTATATCCCAGCCAATCCTCAAGACATGGCTTCATTTTATAACGTTTAGAGCGAGTTTATGATGCATATAAACAGCAGCGGTAACAAGACCTCGTTATAAGGCAACCTAAATAAAGTAAAATGAAGCAGCAGATTTGCTGAATATATCCGGCTTGTAAAAGGAGAGAATTGGTGATGTAAATGAGGGGGGGGGGGGGGCAATGCCCGTCTATTTAACAGTAAGTAAGCGATTCATGATATCATAGATAATGTATATAGTGTTTTTTTTTGACAGATTCGATATTATAACTCTATGATCACTGTAAGCTGCTGTAAATGATGTGTAGAGTACAGATAATAACATCAACTTGATCAAATCAATGATCGGAATCTGGATTGTGGGATATAGAAAGGAAATTGAAAGGAAATAAAATAAAACAACAGGTACTGTGACTCACAGTACCTGTTGTTTTATTTTATTTCCTCAGTGTGAGCTGAGGAATGCTGGAGACGAATTTAACAAAACGTAAATTAAATGTTCTGCAAAGAATTTAGTAAAATAAATGTTCTGCAGCTGATGAGCAGCTTCTATTTTTAATATTCTACAGTATTTAAAGCCACACAAATAAAAAATAATGCAACTGCGTGCAAAATTAATCACTCTGTTAAGGTTATCTAAAAGATAGAAAGATAGATACGCCGAAACTAATTAAAAAGAGAAACCCTGAATCTAATTAAGGCTTTTAACTTAACGAGGCGCTAAACGTCTGTCTCCGTTTCCCTGCACTTCAACATTTCACAGACATTGAGCCACGCACAACACGACCAAGAGAGAGAGCTCAAAGGTCGGCAGGAAAAATAATAGGATTTTTATTAACTCTATATCTTATCTTGTGGTACCAGGTGGCAGCGGGAGTTGGTTTCTGGAGCTTTACACATTAATGTGATCTGTGAGCTACGAAATACTGAGCTTTGAGATAGGTCTCACTCGCGGGGGAATAGGGTCAGTGAAATCATTAATCAATGAACCACCGCTGTCAAGTAAATAAAAGCCCGGAGCTAGGTTATTGGGTTAAACTGGTGCGCAAATTATAGTTTAATGAACTTCTCAGAATTACGAGTCAGAAGTACACCGAAGGATAATTACTTAATTACCTAATTACCGAAGGATAATTACTTAATCAGAAAAATGTACGACAGTAAGTGGAGACTGCAGCTGTTTTGTAACTACCACTAGAGGCGCCGGGCAGTGGGCAGTGTAGGTCAACATCACAACCAGTTCGACCAAGCACATGAATCAGAACCAATAGAACATGTCCGAGCAAGCACTTAAATCAGAACCAATACAACTGGACAGCCTCTCATCACCAGCGATCAACAACTTTGTCAGAACAAATCAGTCACAACACTGTTAGCAACGTCAACATGACCTCGAATCTACGATATACATATATTTACCTCCAGCTAGAAATACAGATTAGAGAAGTAGGAAATGTTATTGGTTCGTCAGAGACACAAGAAACGAGCGAGAACACGAAAATACATACGCTGCTGTAAGCGCAAAGCATCAACATCAGTTGGTGAGAGAATCAGCCGTTGACATTTTAGGTAAATAGCTGACTCAAAGTGATTGTGATAACGACTTTTTTGGCAGCAGCCATAGAGAGATAGAGAGCTAACTCGGCGTGTTGAATAAACTAAACGGCGAGACTGAAAAGAAATTTGAGTAAAAGCCACACGTGCGACCATGAGAATATTTCTGAGGAAAGGAGTATGTTATTGATTTGTATGTGTAGCGTATGACTATGAGGGCTATGATGTATGCTTGATGGACAATTATATCGAGTACTGAATACCATGCATAGTTTGCATACGTATTAAGTATTGTGTATATCGTTAGAATTGTATCAAAAGAAGAGGATTCTTTCAAAGAATGATAATCTAAATCTCTCACCAACTAATAATCTCAATCACGAGGTACTAATAATGATGATTAGAAATTAGTAATAATTAGTATCAACTGTGTAGATAATAACCTAATCTACTCACAGTTGAAAAGTAAAACGTCGACCTTTCAAGTGGTTAAGAAATTTTCAGATTTTCATGCAAAATCGATAACAATAACGGTAGATACTAGATATTATGATTTAAGGATACAAAAAACTCGTTTCAGAAAGCGGTGGCCATTGGCCAGCATCTTGATCCAATCATAAAACCAGCCGACAAACCAGCTGAGCACCACGTGCCATTAGCTACCACGTGACACAACATCACGTGCCATTAGCTACCACGTGACACAACATCACGTGACACAGCAGTTGGATAAAGGTAAGAGTAGGACCCGGGTGTAACGACTAACGCGCTAACAAATTCTGCCCAGTAACCACCAGCTACTGTCGTTGGGGCTCACCAACCTATCTAGATAATAGATGTTAGTTACGTTAAACCCTGTAGCTTGAAACTTTTGTTAAAACCTTCAGCTAAAAATGGAGACGGAATTTCTGTAGCACAAAATCAACTGATCTAATCATTTCTGTAGTAGCACGAACCAGTTGGATACTGTCCAACATCTTGAACACAATAGTATTACGTCTGATTAGTGAGTAGTATCTATGTTATTAGTTCCTTCGTTTAGCTACTCTGTAATAGGCAAATGTAAACCCTGGATCTAGGTTGATGATCTAAGGAAGGGTACACACTTCAGTCTGCACAGTCACATATTTGACACTGTAGAACGTATTTTCGTAAATTATCAATAGATTGTGATAGAATGCAAGAAATGCACGAAGAATACAAATTGAACAAACTGGCATCACGTGGCAACATTTTTGTGATCTCATGCAAATCTTATCTGCCAAAACCCAAAAACTAAGGACATGAAACAAATTTAGAGGCAAATATACCATCTAATACGGTAGGGAGAGGAAAATCTGTCAACAGTCAGGGAGATACAGTCAGGAACGCGACAAGATACACTGCAACTTATAATGCGGTCACGTGGTGTTATAATGCGGTCACGTGGTGGGAAGTTGGCGGGTATTTCATTAGGAATTTGATACAATACAAATTGATAATCTGTATCAGTCGGAGTTAAGGGAGTAAAAGCACTGGGCAAGAAGGAGTAAAATATTCATTGGATATTTTCAAGCAGTAGTAAAATACTAGCAACCTTTATATCTGACCAGGATGTCGAATAGTTTAAGAAAGGTTCCAAGACAGGTCACATAGACAGCAAACACGCATACCTTTCACGGTTATAGGGCACAAAAGCTTCGTCTACTTTCAGACAAAGTTGATTAAGCAACAATCTCAATATACCATCTACATTCCAGCAGGAACAAGCTTTATCACAAAATATTGTACATTTATGTGCACAAGTATTAGTACATGTTGTGATGTATTATTTAGTAAATGAAGTGGTTTGTAGTCATCATGCAACTTTACGTTCCATTAATTAATCAACAATATCCTCTCATCAAATTCCCTCTTGTGGAATTATCACTGTGTACACAGAATTGTATTATCTTCACAGGATTATACTATCATGTATACGGCTCTATACATTTCGTCACGTAACGAACGTTTTTGTTGTATCTCTAGCAACGAAGGTCATACAATATATAGGTACTTCAGTAATAGAAAGTAGCATAGCTGATAAACGCATGTACACAGATAGTCACTACATAAACCATAAACTGATGTTAATGATCCTGTTTTAGAAAAGGTATGAAAATTGTAAAGAGATATTTAACATTTTCATTGAGCAAGATAAGGAACATTACACACCTTTTACAGTTTCCCAGGCGTCTTGGTCGTTGATTTGCTGAACGTAGTTGGCAGGTAGTACTCCCACTTCTGCTCCTAACTGAAATCAGATGCAGTGTTAGTGTTTCTGTTGATAGATGGTTTAATTGATTAACCTCAGATTAACTGACTGGCGGGATTATTGTTGTCGGTTCTGATAATACTAATTTATCTCAAATAGACCACACTAGGTTCCGTTCATACTTCATACCTACCGTGGCTAACTAACTGTTTCATGTGATGATAGCACATACAGTAAATTATAAGGAATGCGAACATTTTGCCACGATTATTGACTAGTTATAAATAGTCGTGGTAACTACATTATATATATCTATAAGTTGCGATAGTTTCTGTAGATCACGACTAGCAACTTTTAGCTACAAATTCCGTATAATATATGGAACAACGATTGAACACAGTAAAAGTGACCACTACTGTGACCATTTAGTGACCATTTAGTGACCAACTTACCCGGCCTATCCACCAGTGAGGATCACTCTGCTCGGTGATAGTGATAATATCGTCTCTCTTAAGGGAGAGTTCGTCGTTGTTCTGTGCTGAGTAGGGGTAGAGAGAGTAGCAGTGCAGTGAGGCTGGGATCCTGTCAGCTCCCTGGAGAGGATATACTGTTAGAGTACAGGGGAGTAATTATAATAGAGTTAATTAACACAAGTACCAACCCTCTACCCGAGGAGAGGAGAGAGGGGGGGGGGGGTTCTATAATGGGTATAATCGACTGATACTCGACGAAAATAACTTTTGTCTTGATTGCGCGGGACGCGAAAAATGCAACTTGAAATTTATATTTAAGTTGTCTAATATCGTTATTAAAACATAAAATTCTCGTAATATTACAGTATTTTTACCCCGCAATTTTACACAGAGAACTGTATCGAGATATTTGCTTCTATTTTTGGCCTGAACCAAATTTTAAGTGCATAACTCATCGGAATTTGCTTATCTACAGTTTATAGACTGAAAGTAATCCTGCAATCAGTAAGCTTCTTCCTTGGTTACAAAAAATGAGTGAACAAAAGGGCTTATCCAGTCAGTTATATATCTATGATTTTTGGAATTTTCTCATCGTGTAAATTCAGCTGTGTAATGTTCCGGTAAATAGTTTCGTTAGTGAGATGTTACGATTGTCTCTTGCCAGCCATATTTTATATACAATTGCAAGCGTGTAAAAACAAAGCTTAGCTTTATCACAAATTATTGGTGGTATCTTTTCAAGGAATCTCATGTACCCTTGAATAATAAACACGTAAACTGCAGTGATATTTGTGAAATGTTTATTTCTCGTGAAATGCTTATTTCCGGTGAAATGTTTAACATTCCAGGACCTGTTTATTCTCCTCGTCCAACTGAAACTCCACGATAGAGACATTGCAGCTATTGGCAAAGGTCTCCGCCACTGATATCAGGTGAGCGGAGAGCAGCTTCTCCATCTTCAACAGATCCGCTTAAACCCGCACTCTCAGTTCTCAGCGATATAGATTTTCAGTTTCAAAACCGCTACTTCAGGCAAATTAAAAGTAGGTTAGTTCACCTGCTTTTCAAAATAAACGTAATAAAAATGTCAAGATGAAAATAAAAACGTTAGAAGTGGGACGGAATACAACAGCAACACGTCACAATCCAACGCACGTACCTACTACCTACGCAAAATAAAGGGGCAAAATGAAATTACGCCTTCTTCGGAAAGGTTATGGCGGGGGCAAACTATCATAAGGTTCCGAGGAAGTGGTATAGGTATTCAATAAAAAGTGGTATAGGTATTCAATAAAAAGGTATGTGGTAGTGGCAGTGATATTAGAACTTTAATTCGAATTTAAAACGAAATTGAATGTCGAGTAGCTGTGCGTCTACAAGTTACTATAACTGTGCACTGTGCAGTGAATGCAGGTAATGTAATGTAACTACATAATATGGCACCCCACTGTATAATATATTACAATGATCAGAGGTGGAACAACGCTTCATTTTATCCACAAACTAATCCCTAACAATTTCAACAACCCTCAGCCGGAACTACAAGAATATTTGACAAAAGAGAGAGGAGGCAGGCGAGACGGCGAGACAGTCAACAGTGCGCGTTCCTGGCGTTCCATTTGTGTAGTGTCACATCTTGCGGTGTGTCTTAGCGAGAGTGCCAGCAATGGAGAGTAAAAAGCAATACTGACATCGGAACAAAGTATCGCAGGAGAATGCTGTGAGGATTGAGGAGAATGCTGTGAGAATAAAGTGTGACTCACTAAATCTCACTGAACAATCCTCAACAAAAGATATTCTCTGAGACACTCTCAGGATATTTAGGATGAATAATATTTAGTGCATCTCTAGTTCGAAGTTTTACAGTTGGTTAAAACATCACGATCAGGATTTAAGGATGGTGTTGTGTTCTGGTCTAGAGAAAATGTGCCGTACACTTTTTATATTTTCAATCGTTCTTGGACTTATCGGGACATTTATACACCATCAACAGAAAATACATTCACCAGACGCCAGAAATTTATTTAACACCAGCAGTTTACTCATCAGATTGTAAACTTCAAACAATATCATCCACTTTTGATACTTAATTTAAGTCTAGACATGAAGGTGTTGATGAGTTCTTCTTCTTCATTTTGAAAGACGTGACTGAATAATAGGATAATAGGCCCGATTGTTCGATGTTCATAGTTATTTTTTTCCTGGCAAATCGTCAAATTACTGTTAAAAAGAGACATTTTTACTGTATTAGTGACAAAAATGACTTCCACCACAAAACATCCAGCCAAATATTCCACACATGAACCAAACACTGAATTACACAAAAATGTTCATACTCTCTACACAACAAATTTAACATAAGTGTCAAGCATCAAGACAGAGATACTATTTAAGCGCTCTAGTTTTGAGAGTTTCATTACCGTTACCGGGAATCAGGAATGCCAAATAACGGGGTTAGGGTTAGGGCTTCCCCCGTTTCATGGGAGTACAGCTATTTAAAATTTATATTGCTATTGTCCCGGACAATGGCACACGTGCTCTTGTCCCGAACATGTACAGTGAAACACGTGTTACTCAGTAGTGGCTAGTAGTGTAAACAGTAAACACTATAATGCTTGAAGTTGTAGATTCTGGTATAATAAACTATGTGTTGTTGACAGACCTCCAGCTATGTTATCGTTAGTTGTTTACAGTGTTACAGGCATGTTAACGTTTCAGCTATGTAAAAACATTTGACTGTGAGACAGAGGTGATCTTATTCTTCAGTTACAGTGCTACGGGAAGCTGTACTCGCAATTAGTAAGGTATGTAAATCCCAACATATTTTAGGTTCGTGAGACTTGAAAGGGAGAAGAATGCTACGTCATATAATCTAACATTCCAACATGAAATAGGGCAGATCGGAATGAAAACGCCAAAAAGTTGCGACATTCAGACGAAAACGGTTGCTGTAAACTGAATTATTCCAACACGAAACCACAAGGAAACTACACAGCCACAAATCTCGCACTTGTCCCGCCAAAATTGCGTCATTCCTCTTTATCTTAAAAGTGAACAATTTAAGAAGTGAACAGTGAACACGCATCTTAAATTGCCACATTCAGTTCCAGAGAAATATCAAAAAATTAACTCACAGCGAAAAATCTAATGAAGCAGAAAAACCGGGGACAATTAATTAATTAAGATTGGTGTAAAACAGCCCCGTAATGTTTTGCCACCGCCTTGTAGTCATTCTTAAACGCGTCTTCACGCCCTACAGTCCTGTTTCGTAAGGCGCCGCCCTAAAGTCTCACGCCCTAGACTCCCGGACCCATAACCGCTCAAAACCAAACCATTCTACACACAAACCTCACAACTATAAAACCACTACGCACTGAAACGGACATTGTGAATCCAATAACCGGCTATGATTTGTTCGGCAGCCTTCTATTCTCGCCTAACCAAGCGACACCGCTTCAGCTAGAGATTAAACTGAAACATCTGTTGGTTCCAGTCCAATTAATCAGGCCGTGCTGCTGATAGACTAACATGTTGGCAGTATAGCGAGGATATAATGCTGCCTTTTGTCGTGTTCCAAGCAACAATATCAGTCATTAATTGTCGTGCTATGGAAAATACGGCAATACAATTACAATATTACGGTTTGGGGGTTTCACAAGAGCGTACAGAGAGGAGATTACATTATATTCACAGAGCTGTCAGACTCTCAGAGCCACAATAGACAAGACAGTTAGATAGTGCTCAATCAATAAAAGGAATCATCACCAGCAGGTACTACCCACATTAGAACCAGCACTAGAACTGTTTTAAGACAGTTCCTAACGAAGGCAGCGCCCACTAACCCGGGTATGTGGTTACCACCTAGTTACCACCTAGCTACAACTATTTTAAGACAGTTCCTAACGAAGGCAGCGCCCACTAACCCGGGTATGTGGTGTTAGTTACCACCTAGTTACCACCTAGTTACCACCTAGTTACCACCTAGTTACCACCTAGTTACCACCTAGTTACCACCTAGTTACAACTATTTTAAGACAGTTCCTAACGAAGGCAGCGCCCACTAACCCGGGTATGTGGTGTTAGTTACCACCTAGTTACCACCTAGTTACCACCTAGTTACCACCTAGTTACCACCTAGTTACAACTATTTTAAGACAGTTCCTAACGAAGGCAGCGCCCACTAACCCGGGTATGTGGTGGAAGTTAAATGAACTAGAATGTGGTTTCAATCAACTGATTGGAGAACCAAGGCACATCCTCGGATATCTCAAGTTTTAGAGCATTTTAAAACTAGATATTTATACCGGGATACGGTGGTGGGGCAGACGCTAATAAACGGAGCAATGTCGGCAGCTACACCATGGTTCTACATCCATCACCGGCGCTTATTAAGTTATTAGTTGGTGCTGTGATAACTTCATATTCAGAGAGCTGGGACCTGGCTCCGGGCCAATCTACTGGACATAGACAAAGAAGGCTTCAAGGACTGTTTAACGTTATGTGCTGCAGTGCTTCTCTTATTCCCGGAAATGTAGGGTTAGGGGGATGGCAGTTATTGGCAGGGACCCTCCACGGTATAACAACATGAACCTGCGACCGATAGGAGGGGGGGGGACGGTTATGTTGTTGTGCAGTGGTACGTCTGTGGGAGAGTGAGTTAGAGGCAGTCAGGCCGAGGTACTTTTCTTTGTAACGTCTATGTGTGACAGACGACAGTAGAATAAGTATGCTAATAGAGTGTCGTGAGTTTTTAGGAAAAGTTTTAGTTAACTTTAAATAAGCCAAATATTAGCGAAACTCAGACAAACGCTAACCATGAGCCGGTGACAGACATTAAATTCCTGTCTCTCCATTTGTTAATGTTATTCATACTGTCTGCCGACAAGATCAAGTGTTAACAGCCAGCCAGGAAACAATATGTTCAATATTAGACTGGCACCCTAGTACGTGGAAATCAAGAAATCAGATTCGGAGATAGTAAAACTGATGAATAATAGCAATAACTTGTAAGCCAAAATCAAAATATGCGTGTATTTCCAACCGTGAGACTCAACAGTCTACATACCGGAAGTTAGGGGTGTTGGTGAAAACATTCACCAGGTTGACCTTTCAGCGGTAGGTCTATTAAAAGACGGCCAAAAGGAGGGATGTTGAAGTGATGAAAACCTCGTTTATTAATTTACAGCAGAAGAATAGCAGTGGGTTCGGGGATAACTGCCATATTCAGAGCACCATTAAAAACTCCCAATATTACGGAGCAGCTGAAGGTTGCAAATAACTTAGTTTCTTAAGAAGACCGATTATGGTGGTACTACAGAAGGGCTATGCACTATCAGAGCGATGAGACGTGATGCAAAGTTCGAGGATAATAGATTTGTTGCACAATCGCATGATGAAATACTGTACTCGACGCAGATCAGTCAGTATTGATATTTATAACTCCACTTCAACAAGCCTTCACAATTTGAGATAAAGGAGCATTTCCTAAGAGATATAATACAGACACAGTGATGTAGCTGTCATACCCTCATTGTCCAAGTCAAGTTCCGTACGCAACCAGTCACTGTACGACAGGTCTTTTGCAGTCCAAGGACTGAAGCTGTGGAACATAGTGCCTCACACAGTAAAGGCTGATACATCCTTTGACATGTTTAAGTGTAGTTTGTCGAACTTTCTTGCTTTGATACCGGACAACCCTCCGGTCTCCGGCTACAGCTGCAGTTGGTCCAACTCACTGGTTGACTACTCGCCATCCAGGTGGTCAGATATCTGATGCCCCTTCCGGCTCCACGGATGAACTCAACGAAGTAACGAAGTAAGTAACTGATTTTAGTATTCCCGAACGTAACTTTTTCCCAGTTTTAATTTAAAAGGGAGAAATTTTTCTAAAAACTATGTTTCTACTCGTTTTATGCAATTTCAATCATTTTGAGCCGATCGAAAGTTTTAAAGATTTTTTAAATTAGCTAATTTTATTTGTATTAGCCAATTAACTGATCATCTGACGTACAGATTTTAGGAAATTTCCTGTGTTGAATTCGCAGCCTTCTATGATGTTCACTACTAAAGATATTTGACAAAAAATAAAAGCAAAAAGTGGCCTGAAGACAAGTGGAAAAGTTGGTCAGCCATAAAGTTGATCAGCTTACAGCTATAAGGACAACTAGCTTTGAGAGCTCGTTGTGTCGGTAAATCGACGTTTCAAACGGATCTGTCTGTACTAATAATCATGCACCACTAAAAATAATCAGAAGTAATATGAGGGATGCTCATATTCTCAAAATATCAGTTAAAAGCTCCGTTTTAGGACTGCACGACGAGATCAAATCGCTAAAATGAAACAACAAATCGTTAGAATTTAATTTGAGAGAGCCCTTTGGATATGATTCAAAATTTATGTAAAATGTAAACAGTTGACTTAAAGATAAGCAATAAAAGAATCGGCATGAGGGAACATTTAAAAGCAATTAGTACGCATAAGGTCATTGAGGGACGAGGGCACCGCGACGGGGCACTCAGGAGTATCATTGTAGCGCGTACAATAAGACACGCCATCTCTTACGAAATGCTCCTTTATCAGTATCTACTATCTCTTAGGAAATGCTCCTTTATCTCTTACGAAATACTCTTTATCTCTGGTCCCCGACAAATGCCCTAGTCCACACAAGACAACACTTGTAGCGATCAAACAAACTTATCTCTACTATATATATAATAATATATAATATCACAGTCAAATGAATAAAAGTCGCTTTAAAGTGCGCGAACAATGAGAGTTGATATCAGCTCAGAATGCATTATCAACATGACAATGATTGATGTTTATGGCCTGATAATGAATATTTAAAAAAAAGAAAGTGTTTTTCGCATATTAATATTATCCTAAATGTTTTTCTTTATCACCAAAGTGTTTCTGTTACCATGCTGTCATTCTATTGTCAATATTTGAGAACAGTTGCCAGTCAAGTGTTCCTTTCTGAACCAACATAAGTCGCAATCCGAACAAATAATTTGAGGACAACATGATACTACAAAACCTTGAACATAACACGAGGAAATATGGACAGAACTGAACAAGAACAAAAACCACATTCAAAGACTGAGGAATCGGGAGGACTCTGCAACCCAGGAATCAACTACTTAGCTATCATCGCTCAATAATCGGTTTGGTATCGACGTTAAATACTTAGATTTTCCGACTTTAAAGCTGACTGAAGAAACCAGGGAATTAATTTTACTTTCCTAAAATTAAATCGTTGATTTTATTTCTATATCACTTCACTTTAAAAAAACATTCCAGTACATTGTGCAGAAAGTTGGAGATTTCAATTTTGGAAGTATGTAAGGATCGAGATCTGATATCGATCGTAAATACTAAAAATACTCTAGCACAATTCTAACTGCAGTTTTACAGAACTCAAAATGTTTAATAAATACCCCTGCACTTGCAGATTCCAGTTTCACCCGTATTCACACTCATAATTGAGTTTAGTATTTTCCAATACGAGATTGGGGACGGGTTCTATAAACAAACAAGCAGTCACTGTCACAACTTCTCAATCACTGCTTTCGACTAACAAGGACGAACCGATTTTAGGTTCAGTGGGAACACAAGGTTCCAGAAATCACACGGTTATTGACCGATCCTAGAACCGAACCTGATAAAATACAACTGTGTAACAAGTAAAGAGGATGCTCATCTTTACTGCACTGTATTAAAGTGTGTACTAGTTTATAATTAATTAGTACCCCTCCTCCTCCCTCTATAAAATACTGTGCTGGATATGTTGTGTAGGTGTACTCTCGCACGGCATGCACTCCGGGAACTGTTAATAACTAATTGCAGTATTAGTTTACTAATTACTGAAAGTTCAGTATTAGTAAATTGTCGTGTTATAGTCTTCAGTCTTCCTTTCAATGGCTTTGCAATGACTGTTTTTTGACAGAGCATATCGGAGGAATTCCAATATTTATTAGATTATTCTGGGCTATTACATAACGACAAGTGTTGTTATTTTATTTGTAGTTTTAGTGAACTTGACAGCGTAGTTTACAAAACATTTATAAAATATATGCATTTTTCTGATTTCTTGGAGCTCATAATTTCCCCCACTGATATTTCAAGAATATTGCAATTTATCATGATGATTTGACTATAAAAGACTATAAAATATGATTCCATATTCTAGTTAATATATTCTAGTGATCCCTTTAATGTAGTGGGCAGGTACCCTGACTGATTTCAAAATGCCTCAACTACTGAAGTTAAATATTCTGGAGAATCTTGCAAAGTTTTGACAGGCGAGCTGTTTATTTTTAATGCGCCAATTTATCAAATGGAGGGAGTTTTCATTTACGCAGGAAGTTGTCTACTCGAATCTTCATCTTAAGTTGTAATATTTCAATATAAAGTTTATATGAATTTATATGAATTTAATGTCTTTGAGCTCTATTTAAACAGCGTCGAGAGAAAATACCGAGGCCACCCAACCCCTGATCATTGGACCGAATAGAGCGGAAACCAGATAACCCAGCCGTATGGGATATCAGAGAATGTTCTAGTAATGTGATGATCTGAACGACAGCTAACAAATGGCGGTTAAGATCTATTACGCCTTACAAGGGCATCATAAACTACTGAAGTGGGTCTATGAGTTAAATTTGATTAAAATCAGGGTTACCAGCATTTCTGTTCGGGAATGAAGCTCCTTTCTTTTTACATATCCCCAATGATTAAGTAACTTTAAGTTAAGAGTTCCGATAGTTCAGGCAGCTTTATTCTGAAAAATAAAAGAAACGAAAGGTTGAAATTTGTTTAACTACAAATAGATATTATATATAACTGGGAAATGCGATTATATTAACTATTTTTCAAAACTCAATCCCAGGAATAATTGTGACTCCTGATAATAGAATGGCCAGCAGCATCAGCAGCGATACAATAGCAATAAACAAATACATCCCACTACTGGGATAAAAGTATATATATATAAGAAATTCAAATTAGAAAACAAATTACAGGGAAGGTGTTGAAAACGCCGAGTGGTGTAAAATAAATAACAAGACTTACACTCTGGAGGTCTGCTGCTGCGACTCGGTGAACACTGATATGGGTCCCTACAGAACTATAGTTTAATATATTCTAGTTATTGATAGTCTGATATTACATTATTTCTTACACCGAATGACACCCCACGCCCGTATTGGTTACAGCGGTTGAAAATCTATTGTTAGCCTTGAGATCTGTGGAAGTGCATCTTCTCAGTGATTGTTCATTCCCGATAACTAGCGACATTTTAGTGGGACCCCTGATCTTGGGTCCCCTTCCCTCCCTGACCCAGTCCCTGTACCTCTGTATCCTGAACAGATATATGAGAGGGTTCACGGCGCTGTTCATTACCAAACACAGCTCCCCGGAGATGTTCCAACTGTAGTACTGCATAAACAGGGAGCTGTAGAACCGTCCGGGCCACTCGTACGCGATACTGGTGATATTCCACAGCACGTAGTTCACAAAGTTGGGGGTGTTGAAGATGATGTAGGTGATGGTGTAGAGGATGATGGTGATGGTGGCACTGCTCTTCAGCCTGCTCTGGGAGATGGCGTTCTTGGAGGAGAAGTAGACTTGGTGACAGGAGACGATGCAGCAGATAGCTATAGGAATGATAGGAAGTGCTAGAAAGAGGCTGTCCACCATGTCATCATACATAGACCAGTCCCCAGCATCCCAGCATATGACATCCTCCTCACTGTAGGTAAACTCGAGCTTGTGGAACAGGACCGGCAGCACCTCGTGTGCTGTGAGGATTAGGAAGAAGGTGACCATGAACAGACCCACTGCCCTCCTTTTCACTATCTTTAAAGGGAAGACTAGGGAGTATGTGCGAGTTGAACTGAGGACTGCCACTATGAACACGGAAGCCATGATGGTTCCATTCTGGAACATTCCCAGAACATAACACGCAATCTCGCTCGTGTAAATGGAAGGTTTCCGGTGGAAGATAAGGCTGATACTTATAGGGATACTCTTGACGGCCAGGGCCAATAAATCCACCACTGCAGTGGATAAGAACAGGTAGCTGGTCATCCTTCCCTCCTTTATAAAATAATTGATTGCTACCAAGTTACCAGGAACCCCAACCACTAGACACAAGATGTAGGCAGCACACAGCAGGATGTCCGCCCAGTAGATGGGGTGGTATTCGGGAGGGGCGATGTCCGAAGCTGGGGAGAGAGTGTTCAGGGTCTCTAGATCCATATCGGTTGGATGGATGTAGTTGTTACAGGAGATCACCTAGTCATGTGGAGAAAATATTTCGTTAGGAACAGTAAAATCAAGAAGTAAACATCGCATCCTATTAAAAATTATATATTTACAAGATATGATCCTGGAGCAGCTATCTGTTAGTTTAACACGTGCTAACTTCCGTCTAGACAAAATCAAGAATAATTTAATTGCGACAGGGTGGGTAGGAAATCGGACACGTATTAAGCAGTTTAATGATCCCAATCATGTTTAATAATGTTAATGTTAGGTGAAGGTCCAGATTTAAGAACTTTAAAGTTGCTTTACAAGCTTATAATACGAAATTCATAAAGAATTATGAAGATTATGCCCATGATTGATGGAAGGAACCAGCGAATAAAACTAGAGGAGCCTAAATTAATTTTTACTCACTAAAATGCAATCGTCGACTTATTGATTTTACAATCTAATCTTCAGATCCACAATCCAGGGTAGCTTACAGTTGACAGGACAATTACAAAATTAAGCAGCAGTTTTTGAGTTTTTCCTCTCAACAGAGTTCGGGGAAGTACGCTAACCCAAGGATGCTCACTTTGAACCGTAACAAGAATTGAATACCTTGCTCTTTGATGATCTTACTTTATTTTATAGTTAATGGGAAATCGATTAGAACTAAAAGCAAAGAGTGGGCCGTGTTTGTTTATCGACTGACGTAGGCTAAAGAGATACTTACTTTGGTTACTTTGGTTGTGTTTATCCTCGTAGTAGGAAGGGTCATCCGATTTTTGACCACCTCGATGGCGAGTAGTCTACCAGGGAATTAGATCATTGCTCAAATAGGACTATGACTTCACTAAAGGCAGCAGAATTTTCCAAAAATCATAAGATCATTTCTTCGATCACTTAGTTCAAAGCACCAATACAGCAATACCAAGCACCAATACCAAGAAAAGACATCGAATTTGGATTAATCAGATATCAATTGTTTGCGCACGAACATTCGTCAGACCTCCGTCCTCGAATGATAAATCAAACCTACGGTTTACCTCATAGCCAACCACAAGCTCGGGTAAACGTCATCTCCAATCACGAGCTAATATCTAGTTAAACTCATGATTCTAGGGCCAGCTCGGAGAGCAATAGTATCATCAGTCGAGTCTGATTGTATCAATATGAAACTGTTCATGATAACACGTAAGTCTCAGCAACTTCCTCTCTGCCACGATAACCCCCTAGAAGCAGAAATTCAATCGGCTACAAAGCTGATAAATATATTTATGAATAACCTAGGGGGTAGTTTGACGGTTAAAATATTCAAGCTGCCAAGCTGCAATTCTAATAAGAACTGGGTAGGTATCAGCCCGAATACCTAGTTCATTGCATTAGGAGGGCAAGGTGCTGGATTTTAAAACACGTACATTGCAGATCATGTGACAGGCTTAAAAAACATCTTGCTACTTTTGGAGGATGGTAGAACCTGAGTTTTGGGTTTCGTAACAACCACAAAACAACAAAACTTGAAAGTGGCCGAGTAGTTTGGTTAACTAGAGAAATTATGCAACAACGCTGATGTATATAATATGGGGTTACGATATTTCGTAAATTACCGATTAAGTCCTTCTTCGTACCGTAAAGTACTTCTTCGGGTAAAGATTTAAAATTAACCTCCCAATAAACGAGTTGAAGGAAAAAAGGCTTTAAAATAACTCCTTGTTTCATTAAAGATGCCTAAACTTGGTTCAATGTTATTATTTCACAGAGCTAATATTTCATAAATGCTCATGTAAAGAGAATGTTAAATGTTCTTTGGATCCTCAACTTAGAGAAGCAGCGCTGATAATAACCGGGCTTGTATCTTTGTATGTTGAAATGAACAAACTTCGAGAGTAAACAAATACCAAGTTAAAGAACTATTCATCTTTCATTTTTAGCCATGTACTGAAAACAACGCGAACATTAAATATAATCCACCAAGGCCAAGGGTCGTTTAAGGATCGCTTTGGGCCAAAAACGATCACTTAAACTTAGAGCACAATTTACGCACAGAACTTGGATGCATTACTTATGTCCAGCCAGCCTTACAACGCTCCAATTGTGTCTCCAGCATGACAACTAGGAATTTAATTTTGAAAGAATGCCATCCCGAAGAAGTACGTGACCTTTTACTGGTATTAAGAGAGTTTGACGACAGCAGATCTGGATTTTAAGAGTTCATTGTCGAGGTATCGATCTCGATTCTCGACTATACGTACAGATTAGCGGCATCTAATCAAATTCTTGAATACGAAAATGTCGAAAAATCATAGGCCACGCAATTATTTGACATGATTATTGTCTGTTGAAATGAAATAAACGACGAATTATTTTTAGAATACCCTGCGCCATCGCCATTTAATGACACAAGGGAGAAATAATGAAAAGAATTGTCAAATGATGAAAATAATTGTCTGAGGAGGAAGGACTATTCTACAAAAATGCAGATTATTACCAGGTTACAGCGGACCACTGTTACTGATCTCACTATACGTTAGGTGGGATGGGTATCAGAGCGTGTGTGATTACTGTCAATATCAGAGTATGATTAGAGCTATCACCGCCAAGACTTACACAGACAAATGAAGGACAGGGCACTCTGATTTATACACAATGATTGTTGAGATGAGAGAAAGCTGAGGTAGGGCGGACATCACACTAGGTGAAGGTTGGTGGCTGAGAATAGGAGAACTTGTCAGCCTGGAGGTTCAGGGGTGACAGTGATTAGGGTACCCTGGTTACCCTGGTTACCCTGGTTACCCTGGTTACCCTGGTTACCCTAGTTACCCTGGTTACCCTGGTTACCCTGGTTACCCTGGTTACCATGGTTACCTTGGTTACCCTGGTTACCATGGTTACCCTGGTTACCATGGTTATCCTGGTTACCCTGGTTACCCTGGTTACCTTGGTTACCCTGGTTACCATGGTTACCCTGGTTACCCTGGTTACACTGGTTACCCTGGTTACCCTGGTTAGTGGTTACCCTGGTTACCCTGGTTACCCTGGCTACCCTGGTTAGTGGTTACCCTGGTTACCATGGTTACCCTGGTAACCCTGGTTACCCTGGTTACCCTGGTTACCCTGGTTACCCTGGTTACCCTGGTTACCCTGGTTACCCTGGTTACCAGCCGAGATATGAACATCCGTCAAGTGCCTGCAAATTCTTCAACTGCTCCTGTTAATTTATTAAAACATGTTCCCCCGAAGGAACATGTCACGGATAACGGTGAAGGAACATGTCAAGGGTTTAGGTGATAAGATTGCTTGCCAGAAGTTCCACTGCGAAGTAGCGTTCATTTATTCTGACTGTCCACAACGCAACTAATTCTAACATTAGAAGTTGAGCTTAACGTAGAAAGTTGCACTTCTTGGGGTTCCAACCAATCAGAATGAAGATTCTTATGCTCATTGCTCTATAAAACCTCTGGAGCTTGAAGCGATCTTCAATAAGATTTAACCCCTTATGGGGTCCTAAGCCATTTGGTATAATGAATGAACCCTATAAAAATGTGGGTATCGACAAATAGACAGAGCCACGGTGCACAATTAAATGGTAGTATAATCTTATAATGCACTGCAGATTATTCGAGACATTCCTTCTGACCCTGCTTTGACGAACATGTTTAAATTTAACGAGTCAGATCAGGACTGGAACCTCAACAGGTTGGGGGCTGGAACCCGGGAGGCCACATTCTGGTCTCGGCAGTAGTCCCGAAGAGTCTGGTATTGACATTTGGACGAGCTCCCCAGATACCAGCACTCACCAACAGAGAGGGTGGCTTTTGTGTGATTAATTCCTCTGTACCTGGTACAGACTACAGGGTGGTACACACTGTACCACTAAACGTCCATTTCATGCATTGTGATGGGGTCTTTTTCATAATGAGATAAAATAAACATTAAACAGTTGTATTTTTGCTATAATAAATGACTGTCCAGCACAATTCATTACTTTTGTGGAACTATGAGAGTATTGCCGTTAAGAGATCGCGAATATTAATCAAAAGAAGTGAAATGACGGTAAAATAAAATGCACCACGAAGTACCGTTTAGGTAATACCCTGGTGGCCGACCCCTTTTCTTAAAAAGCCAGCAGGATCATTAGATCATGGAGCAACTAGATTCATATTTGATATCTGGCAGATTGGCTAAGATTTCTGGTAATGAAAATTCGACAGAATATTCGTTGGTAACCATGACCATTTCCTCAGGTCGGTAATTTGTCTTAATCAAATGTGTTTATGGCTTTATGGGGTATACGAGATCAACTGGGGGAGATTTCTACAATTAAAGGTTGACAGGATTTTTAGAAGCTTTCAAATAACATGTGTTATTTGTCTTTAGCTATCTAACAATATAAAGATACTATTCCATGGAAGTAACTAATCACAATGGCGGGAGTAGAGGATATTAATGTAGCGTCAAGGAACATTCCTGGCTGGAACTGACTAATACGCAGTCAGGGATTTCATAATCAGGACGCATTTAGGGCGGAGATTTTAGCCCTCAACTAAATTTACGTGAACTAATGTGCACTGTAGTCCGACCTACCACAGAAATACCTCATCCTTAAGTTATAAGCAGTTTCTTCATTATATTAAGATTTTAAGTTAAGTGGCAAATACTTCTGATATTTATAGGAACCAAGAGGCCATCAAACGAACTTCAATCACAACAGTGTTGTTGAGGTGTAGCACTTTAACTTTCACTATCTTCAGCTGTTCAAGCTGCAGCTCAAGTAGCACTTAAACTATAGTTGGTTCATACGAAGTTTCAGGGTGACTTATAAACTTATAAACTAAGTGGTAAGTAACTTAAACCAAGCTGCCTGACTGGTTAATTATGACAAATTTTTATGTGTTAGCTTTAAAAGCAGGTTAGAATCACATGTACGATTACATGATTCCAGGCCCGGAACCTGGCTTATCCTAATCTGGATCCGGGAACATTTCATCACAGTTCATGAAGTCAACTAAGCTAAAAAATGGAGATATACGAGTTAATCACATCC